CAGAGAACGATTCATGTCTGGGAAGGAAACACTAAGGCAAGGATACAATCAACCCAATCTTAGGGACTGTTAAGAGTTGTAATTTGAATTTCAGCAGGACTGTTTATAATTATCGGGAAAATAGACATAGGGTATGCAGCAATTAAGCAAGAGAGAAAGCAAAAGGAGCATCAAAAACAAAACCAGGGTAGAAGACTGTTTTAGTACGTGATTCCTTGGCTAAATTGTCAGGCCAAAATGAAATACTTTCCAAGATTGGGGCCTCTAACTACTCAACAACCATAAAACATTCTGCAAAGAGAGTGAATTTAAAAAAGGTCAATCACAATATTCAGCAATCCTAGATACTCTGGCTGCAGAAATCATCGCATCCTATTTGTAAGTCAAAACATATCTGTGGCCAAAGCTCCATTTGGTTGTGTCGATAGAAACATTTGTTAGAAAAGGCTTGCTTTTAGTTGTAGTTAGAAGCACTTAGTTGCCTTCTATGAAGTGGTATGAAAGGATGTTTCTGTCCAAATTTAGTAACAACACTTTTAAAGATTTTGTGCAGTTATCTAACAAATTTGCATTTCGAGGAAAACTTTGATTCACCATTTACTAGCTTTCAATTAGTTATTAGAAAGGATGCTTGTTTGTGCGTACCTATGCCACTATTAAGGATTTGTCCAGGCCTTGGGAAAAGGTGTTTGTTTGTGAAGACCTAAGGAAAGCATGTTTGTTTGTGCTTGGTGATTGAATTCAAGTTGAGCTCTTTTTGGTTGTCTTGAAGGCAACCTATTTGTTAGAAAAGGGCTTGCTTTTGGTTGTAGTTAGAAGCTTGCTATTCTTTAGACCATTGGGTTATTTTTCTATGAAGTGTTGAGATGTTGTGTCGGAATTTGGCAGCAATAATTTTAATGTTTGTAAGCATGTAATATAATTTAATTGGGGTTAGAATGCATTTTAGCTAGTTATTGGAAAAGATGTCTTTTATCCCCTCCTATGCCTGCTCTCTTAACTATTTAAAGAAAATAAAACTGGATTTGTGTTCACCTTACAGTTTCTTGATGAATGAATTCTAGCTGATCAGAATTTTAATATCAAAAGTCTTCTATTCATTCAATGAAAAGCAACATAACTCATTAAAAAAGTGACAAGGTTATTGCTAGCCAAAGGAAAGAATGGTTTATTGTTTATTGTGGAGAATAGTCAAGAAAATTGGTGAAAAGAAAATACTTAACATATATGTTTTCGAAGGTTAAAATATACCTATATACATATATAATTCCCAGAGAACATTTCTTCTCCATAGTACCAATGGTCAGGATCCTTCTAAAAATTATTTAACTTTGGCATTACATTTGCAGTATATAAATAGAGAGAGCATTAGTTTCGGGTTAGAAAGGACGCTTTCTACAGGAAACTTTGATATCAAGCGGTTCAAAATGCACAGGAAAGGCATGACCCAGGTCTATTTGCAATCCTTTTATTTTCTTTAGTTTTGCTTGTATATTCACTCTTAATTATCTAGTTGTTATAGGATAAGCTAATGAGAAGTTCCCTTGTACAGGTCTTAGCTAGGCTATCTTTTATAGGGACTCTGGGTCATGTTACAAGAGTTTCGCCACAATTTGAAAAGTCAAGAAAAGTAAGTGGGCCTAGAGCTTTGCAACCCAGTCAGGTATAAAGCTTGTATCTGAATTAAAAAGTTTTTTCTGTAGCAGTGATTTTTAATCTTTGATGGGGCTTTAGTTGTCTTCTGATTTATTTATTTTACATTTTTAACACTAACCTAAAAATTTTGTGTTTCATTCTTTTTGTGTTAGTGGGGTATGCTATGCCCTTGTGATACTCCAGAAGGTGAGGCTTGTGGACTGGTAAAAAACTTGGCCCTCATGACTCACGTTACGACTGATGAAGAGGAAGGCCCATTGGTTTCTCTGGTACATCTTAGTTTCTTATTTCTCACCTTTGTATTAAATAATATTGGAAACCTTACATTAGATAAGACATAGTGATATTACATCTCTAATAATTTGTGGTGCAAATGGTAATTCAATTCGAATATGACATGCAGTGAAGGCCTCTTTTTTGTACCTGTATGAAGGACAAGACAAGAAATCAAACTTTTTTAGCTTTCCATTATTATCAACATTTTCTATATTATCTACTAGAAATAGCAAACTATTTCTACTTGTCTTTTCTTATACAGTTAATGTGTTATATGGGTAGGTTCTCTTATACTCAATGTTTTATTTAGTTAGATTCCACTCTTTGTTTTCTTTTTCTTATTTAATCGCTATAAATGCCATGTACTGTTTCTTTAACATAATAACAAAAATAATATTTCGGTTTATTATTTTGCATGATATCATAGTAATAGGTTGTAGAAATTGGTAAATCAGGGAGTTCTGTTAACCACAATACTTATTGAGATTATATTGTGTGTCTTTGGAAAAAGTTGTCCAGGAGGAGTTCGATCTAAATAGTAAGGTTGGGATTACTATGAACTCTACTCTTTATCGAGTTGGTTTCCAAGTAGTGGTTCATAAAAGTTACCAATGATCTCCATTTTAGCTTGGTGTTAAAATTTAGAATATGAGTACTAAAGGGCTTTCTTTTAGGCCGGGAGAAGGGGCTCTCTTTGGTTAGAGGATTTATTTGGAATTAATTTGCAATTAGAGGACATATGATGGGATTAGTTTGGGATATTTGGACATGATAGTAGGTGGAGGAGATAGATTTTCGGGCAAATACTATTTGTATGTTTTCACACAGGTCATAGAGAAATTTCTTAAGAGGCTTGAGTGTGGGGAGAAGGAGATTTCCCATCTACAATTTGGTGACAACACATTCTTTCTTATCTCATGATGCTGGCATATTCATTAATTCACTAACTATTATGAAGATGTACGAGATTATCTTGTTATGGAATGACTTCATATTGCTAGACAATGCGTTTGGAGTCAGCTGGGGTGATCCTTTGGCTTGATAGTCAGATGTTTGCGTTGGATGTTTTGAGTTCATACACTTTAAAGGACCTCTTCACCCATCTTACCATAATCCTAGTTGCCACAATAAAACTTTAAACAAGTGCAATTTAAAAGGGCCAACTCCTTGTAAGCTTAGGAGTTTTGCCTGGATTGTTGAACAAGCTAAGCAGAGATGGTTTGTTGCAAATGTGAAAACCAATCATTCTCTTTCCTTTGATGTATGTGTTATGTGTTTCAGGGAGATTGATTTCCGTTGCCATCTCTTTTTCCATCATGAAACAGTATGAGTCTCTAGTCTGAGCTTTTTACATCATGTGTCTTCTACCCTCTTCCCATGAGTGATTCCTCTATAAGCTCCTAAGGGGAGTTTGGACGAATAAGGAAGCTAAGGTGCTTTGCAAGATGCTGTTTTTAATGGTTTATGGATGTTGTGGTGGGAGCTGGCTACTAGTTTTTTCAAGGATCCTTTAGCTTTGTCTTTCTTTTGGGACATTTTTTTTTGCCTTTGTGGCTTATTTTTAAAACTCAATTGCAGTTAGGATGATTTATTTTCAATTGATCTGCAGCCACATTATTAATAAACTACAGATTTGGTTCCCATGCCAATTTTATCCTTTTTGTTTTCATCTGTTGTAACAGTGCTACTGTTTGGGTGTTGAAGACTTGGAACTATTATCAGCAGAAGAACTTCACACGACAAATTCTTTTCTTGTTATATTTAATGGGTTGATACTTGGAAAGCATAGAAGGCCCCGGGTAATACAACACATAAATTTTTATGATGAGAGAGTTGACATATTTTATGATTTTTATTCCATTGTTTCAAGAGCTTGTACTGTTTTTTATCCTTCAGAAATTTGCCGACTTAATAAGAAAGCTGCGTAGAGCAGGGAAAGTTGGCGAGTTTGTAAGTGTCTTCATGAATGAAAAGCAGGTAAATTCTTCCTCCATCTCTTTGTAGTTGACATGAGTCTTGTTCTGTGAGCCCGATCCTCATATGCTAATTCTGTTTATTAATGTCTTCCGCGTACAAGTGTCTTTTGTTTGCATTTGTATATTTCACAATAACCAAAGGCATAAATATAAAACTGACTATGAGGATATCATATATCAGTGTTGTGTTTACATAGCTTCTGATGGAGGTCGAGTTTGTCGTCCACTTGTTATAGCTGACAAGGGCATATCGAGGATCAAAGAGCATCATATGAAGGAATTGTTGGTAAGCATATTTATATCCTTCTTTCCGAAATAAACAATGCTGTACCAAAACTAATTTAATTTTAATGTTTTGTAAGGATGGAGTGCGGACTTTTGATGACTTCTTACGTGATGGATTAATTGAGTATCTTGATGTCAATGAGGAAAATAATGCCCTGGTTTGTTTCG